TTAGAAGGAGCGTTAATTTGTAATTTGTATAAACTTATGTTAGATTTTAAGAACTTTGTATCCATAGAATATAACATTGTAATATAAAAACATTATTTAAGAGAATGACACTATTCATGTACTTTGTGCTTCAATGAATAAAGAAATATTGAATTGAATTGAATTGAATTGAATAATAAAAAACTAGTGTACATGTTGCTCGAAATCGAGCAATTGCAAAGAAGTACAGGAGTTATTTGTAAACAAATAACTTGTTTAAAAACTAATAACAGTCATAATTCCGATGATTTTAAAAGAGTCAACTAAAAGATTATTAACTAATGGAAATACTCACAATTTACATAACAGTCCTATTCCAGTTTAAAGGGTTAATTATTAACAATCAAACTGCCCATGGACGGGAAAAGGTAAGCTTACAATTTAAGTCAACGTAAAATGGCTGTCAGCGTTTATAAAGTACCGTACTTAGAGTTATTTAGCCAGTTTGTAGACAATCAGGTGTAGGCTACCGTACTTTAAACTCTACAGGACAGAGTTAGGCAAAAACTGGCAAAATTCTGAAATGGTGTTATTTATCATAGACTTAATCATATGCCAAATCCTTAAAATAAAAATTCAATAACTAATAACTTATATCATTAAACACAAACCAATATCCAAAACTATACACATTTTTAATACAACATAATTTACACATTGACGGTTTACAATTAACATGCTCTTCTTCTCACTATTAACTTTTGCTTTGCAACGGGAAAAGTCTGTTTAGTAATCATTGAAATAGATTTGCAATAAATAATCTATCATAAAGTTTAAGATTAAATAAACCTACCACATAGTTGTTTTTTTATCAGCTGTCTGAAATTGTGAAATAGGTATTTGATAGTTCTGCTTGTTTACATTTAAATGTCAAAGCAAATGTAAACATTGTGAATTTTCTCAGCTTCCATGGAGACAGATTTTTAATATTTAATTTTTTGACAACAGCTGGAGTTTCAAAACAATTTTTGTTTCCCATGTTAATCTTATGGAGAAATACGAAACTTTAAAGGGCCCAAGGGCCTCACTCTCTAATTATTTCCCTAAAAAGAAAGTTTCCTGCACAACTTCACGTTATGCTCTTTCCAATGACACCAAAAACTTGTCAATTGGTTCAGTAGGTTCGGAGGAGTAATTGTCACAAAAATCTTGCTTGCGTATTAAATAAGTAATAGATACAGTAAATCTCTTCATTCCATCCATAACAATTACACTGGTTGTTCATATTATTTGTTGAATTGAAATAGGTACCTAACTTTTGTAAGTTGGTGAAATTTTACTTTAAAATTGCCTAATCCACTAGTCAATAAGAACAAACGTACATAAAAACCAGCCACACGCAATTTAAAAAAAAAAAACGTAAGCAACTTAAAATAAAATGTATTGAAATTTAAAATATTTAAATAACTATTAAAAGTTATAAAAGAATGTTATTTGTATAAATAAAACACAATAAATGTCAGTAGTCTTAAACTGTACAAATATTTTACAACCCCGATATAACTTAAAAGGCAATGAACTTTTGGGGGATTAACAGTTGTGCCGATATCAGCAGCACTGCGCAGCAATTATGACGCAACCTTTCGGACGAACCCCAAGGCGTTTTTACATTTTAAACCATATGTATTCGTAATAATATATTTCTTTCTTATAAGAAAAATGCATCTAGTTAATATTTAGCCTAGTAATTAAGTAATAACACTATTTATTTTCAACAATTCATATGATTTTTGAAGCAAATAGCTGTATAATGTAGATGTTGTTAAACTTATTTATTGATATAACTTTTTTGTTAGTTAAGATACAACTTTTTACCCAATAACCTTTTCTATTGGCCATATTTTTTGGATTAAAACTACGTTTTAACCGATGTCCTATCTCGTACCGTTATCGAGCTACAGTCGTCTCAATGCATAGCCCGTTGCGCCATCTTTGCCCCCTTCCCCCCAAGTTCTCGACCACCTTAAAAGTAGGCGACATGCGTATTTTTTATCACCACAGTCCATATTACAACTATCAGCAAAGATATTTGATATTACTTCTTTGCAACACTCTCAAATTAATTATACTTTCGGTAAAAAAAACTACACGAAAAGTCCATTTTTACATGTTTCATACAATAACTTGTTTATTTATAGAGATACGACCTCGGACCCCATAACCATTATTGTAGTCCACATTTTTAGAATTACAACGACGTTTTAACCGATATTCTATCTTTTACCGTTTTCGAAATATCAGCGTTTTAACGCATAGCGCAAACCGCCATGTTTGCCCCCTCCCCCCCACCTTATCGACCACTTTTGAAATAGGCGACATACGTAATTTTGATCACCACAGTCCATATTACAATAATCAGCAATAACATTGCGTACTACTTTCATGCATGCTCAACCCCCCTCACTCCTGGACTATAATATTAGTAAGATAACCCATTTAAACTAATCTTGTGTGGATTGCATCTGCTCACATTGTGTGACAACAACATAAAGGCCTTTTCACACCGGCACACTGGCGTTTGGGACAGTACGCGGTCCTTCCACACCATCCAGTAACGTACCAAACATCCACTTGTTCACTCTGAGTCAGAACATTTTATCGCTAAACAAAATAGACAACCCTCAATGCTGTAAACATTTTAGTTCAAAAGTTATCGCAACTTTTGTAGTCTCCCCATAAAAAATCAGTTACTCCTACTGCTTACCCATGTGTTGTGATTGTGTGAGTTCGCTGATATATTTATTACTCTTTGTCTTTACTTCTGTATTGCCTACAGTCTTTCATTCCTTTTTAGTTATTATGGCCAAATGACTATCAAATGGTCACTATGGCTACACGGGCATCACCCCGGTTGACTTCATAAGTATTAATAAAACTATTGATTGATTATTGGATATTGGGTATATGTATTTCATTGATCATATTTTTTATCTGGTTTCAAGTAAAAAGTTAAGAGCTCATGCCAATAAATTAATTAAATAAATTAATTAATTAATTACTTACTGTTAGATAGTTAAATCTGTAAGGAATTAATAAATCAGCTGATGAATTAATCACTTACAGATTTAACTATCTAACACTTTTCCCCTCCTTCTTTTTACGCAGATTTCCAGCTGACCAACCATTTCCATGTTCATTCTTGATCCACACATCTTCTCCTTCTTCAAAAGTTCGAACTTTCTTGTTGTCTCTCCCTTGTTCTTTCCAAAGCTTCATTTCCATCTTTTTCCTAAGATTAGGTTTCATATTGTCAAAAACTGTTGGTAGTCTACGACCGAGAAACAATTCTGCCGGAGCCCTACCTTTTGTTTTCTGAGGCGAGTTTCGGTAGCTAAAAAGAACATTTTGAAGAGCTAGCATTCCATCTCCGACGTCCTGCTTTGTTGTGTAGTACCGTCTTTTCAATGTACGAATTAGTCTTTCAACAAGTCCATTACTTTTAGGATGGTACGGAGTTGTTTTTATGTGGTTGATAGAGTTTTTCTGGAAGAATGTTTCAATTTCCTTTGACACAAATTGAGGTCCGTTGTCTGTCACGATTTCACTTGGTAATCCATATCGACTAAACCAAGATCTTAATCGTTGAATGATTGTATAAGAGTTTGTTGTCTTAAGACAGTCCACTTCTGCCCACTTAGACAACGCATCAATACCTACCAACCACATAGATCCGTTGACTGGCCCTGCCAGATCAATGTGTACCCTTTCCCAAACTCTATCAGGTACATTCCAAGGATATAATGGTACTTCTTCCACATTATCTCTATTCTCTTGACAAGATGTACACTTCTTGATATAAACTTCGATATCTTTATCCATGTTGGGCCACCACACATAGTGTCGCGCAACAGACCTCATTGATGCAATACCAGGATGTCCTGCATGCAATATCTTCAGAACATCAGTTCTCATGCATTCTGGAACTACGATTCTTCCAAACCACAATAATATATCATCTTCAACATTCAATTAATATTTTCTCTGTTTGTACGACTTTAACATTCCAGGAACAACAGAGGGCCATGTATTCCTCAATGTAAAGTTTTTTGCCATTCTAATAGCTTTATCTGTCAATGAATTTTGTTTTAAAAGGTCATAAGACATGATAGTGTTAACCTTATCAATATTCAAAAAACCAATGTGAGCCTCCTCAGGTTGATCTTCTTCAATTGGAAGTCTTGATAGAACGTCAGCACACATGTTATCTTCTCCTTTTCTGTACTCTATGTCATAGTTGTATTGATTCAACTGGAGAGCCCACCTCACTAAACGGCTATTTACTACTTTTGGGAGATCTCGCATTTTTCCAAATATCCGTTGTAGAGGTTTGTGGTCGGTTACCAAAGTGAATTTCCGACCATACACATATTGATGGAATTTCCTGAGTCCAAAGATAATAGCTAGTGCTTCTCTGTCGATATTTGAATATTGTTTTTCAGCAGGCAGTAGTGTGCGACTTGCAAAAGCAATTGGCCTTTCTAGTCCATTTTCGAATCTGTGCATTAGTACACTTCCCAATCCATTTTCTGATGCATCACAGGCTATTACCAATGGTCTCATTTCTTCATATGGTACTACTGTGTCTTTACTTGATAGAATTTCCTTTACTCTTTTAAACGTCACCTCTTCTTGTTCAGACCATTTCCATTTAGAGTTAGTTCCAGTCAGCTTATGGAGATCACTACAAATGGCATGAAGTCCTGGAATAAATCGTTCATAGTAGTTAATAGAACCTAAAAATGATCGGAGTTCCTTGACATTAGTAGGTGACCGTGCCTCTCGTATGGCTTTTATTTTTTCTTCAGTAGAATGTATTCCATTTCGGTCGATTGTATGTCCCAAGTAAGTTACTGATTCTTCAAAAAATTTGCATTTGCTAGATTTTGTTTTTATGCCACCTTCTTTAATTCGTTTCAAAACCTCTCTTAAATTTCTTAGATGTTCGTTCTTATTCTTTCCAGATATTATAATATCATCCAGAAGAACTCCAACCTGTGGTATTCCAGCTAAGAGTCTTTCCATATATCTCTGGAAAATACCTGGGCTGGATGATATCCCAAAAGGTAAACGTTTGTATCTATAATAACCACTATGCATTGGTATTACTAAATACTTTCGGTGTTCTTCTGCAACCTCCATTTGTAGGTAAGCATCTCGTAGGTCTATCTTGGAAAACTCTTGTCCACCTGCAACTTTATTTGTTAGTTCCTCAAATGTTGGAATAATAGCATTTTTTGGGACCAAATTTGGATTCAACGTGACTCGAAAATCTCCACAAATTCTTATTGAACCATCGTCCTTCTCTACGTTGACTGTTGGAGTGGCCCACGGAATAGCTGTAGTAGCAGGATCTACCTCTTCAATGATATCCTCATTGACAAGTCTTGCAAGTTCACTCTCAATTTGTTTTTTCAAGGGAAATGGAACCCTGCGCGCAGAAAAATGTTGGGGGTTTGCATCTTCTTGAACGTGAATTTGTGCTTTATAACCCTTGATTTTCCCATGTCCTTCAGATAATACATCTTCAAAGTCTTTTAATACTTCCTTAACCCTCACATCATCCATCTTTTGTTGTTTTAGATTTTGCTTACATCTCACTTTACTAATAGTTACATCAGGAGGGAGTTGCATATTAAAAGCTAATATCCATGGTAAACCAAATAATGGTTTCTCATTTCCATTTACTACTGCTACTTTTAATCTACGTGTCTCATTACCTACTGAAACATTGACATAACATTCACCAAGTATATCTAAAATATTGTTTCCATATGCCACGTATTTTGAATTAGTCTTGTCAAGTCGTGGTGAACCAATCTTCTCCCAAAGAGGCTTACCTATCATTGAGGCCCAAGCTCCTGAGTCAAATTCCATGTTTGTAGCTACCTTATTTAACTTTAAATAAATACGTGCTTTACAAATATGTCTTCATTCCTTTTTAACATCGTTTATCCTCATGTCATGAGAGTCTGCTTCAGATTCTTCATCTTCTGATTTTTCATGCAAATTATTCACTCGTTTTTGCCGACATACCTTTGCAAAATGTCCTATTTTTTTACAAATCAAACACTGTTTTTAGTAGGCTGGGCATTTGCCAAATTCATGTTTTGTTCCACATCTACTACATGGATGATTTGTCTTTTCGTTATATTCCACTTCTCTCTTAGACCCTTATTGTTTTTTCTTACTTGCGATACTTCCAACTCTTTATCGTTATTCTTGAATATCTCATGACGAGCTCTTTCCTTTGAAGTGGCCAGTTCTTAATACTTAATACTTTAATACTTTTCGATGAAATGGCGACCATACAAAGTAGGTATTTTAAGCCAAGTATGAATGGAGATGAGTGTAGGATGAGTGGCGCGATCTTGTAGTCTTGTTAGTGACTAAGGCCGACATATTCCCTCGACACAGCTGTTAATTAATAGCCCATACAGCTAATGGCAACTAAGAGACCTACAGTTTATAGTGGAATCAGAACCACATTTTCGCCTTGGTATATACGAATTGGTCTAATTATCAGGATAGTACTGCGGATAGTCGTAGTACTCACTCGTGCGGACGTTAATCCACACCAGAGAGTATCGCATCCACAGTGCATGCCTATAAATATCCCCAATTCGTGACCTCCTAGTAGTTGGATTACAGGACGACGCCACCCGTGTTCAAAAATATCTTCAGATGTTAACTTGTCACCATTTTCTTTTACACCATCAGGCCATCGTTGTCTTATTTCTAAGTTTGTTAGTAAATATTCTGTTTACATTGATGCGTTTAAGAATTAAATAAAATGGTTCTTTTGTATTTTGAATATCAGTTAGTGTAATTCTATACTTACTTCCCATGAAACCCTAAATAAGAAGGAACTGATACAAGACTATCTCAACTTAAGAATAAGGATATTAATTTTTTTTAAGATTGATAAGAAGCCTCTTTTCAGTTAGCTAACTCCAGAAGCCTGCTTGGGAGGGCGAATGTTAAGTTTAATGCGTTGTGAACTGTTTGTGTTCTCTTAACTGTCTGTAATTTTGAGCTTAGATGAGTTATTTGTAGCCTATATCTGTTACTTATTCATTAATGTTCTCCTTAGCTAAAAACTTTGTCCTCCAAAATGTTTACATGAGAAGTTTTAAATGGACACTACTAAAGCAGACCATATGATGTTTTGAGTTAATACCATTGGTTATGCTCTGAATAAGGCACATTAAATGCTCCACTGGCAGATACTGCCTTCATTCATAGTTTCTAAATCCAGTATTTTCTATCCGTAGGTGATCTGAAATCATTCTATGCAACTCCAGTTTCTACAACAACTCCTCTAGACAAAATGAAGACTATGGACCTACCAGAGAATCTTCATGTTCAGTATGAACCCATCAGATTTCATCCAGGTAAACCCTGCATACTATCCATAGCAAATTAATAACTATTTTTCAACAACGTAGAGTATGGAATTTCTACTAACCTTCATGTGTAGGCTTTCGGGGCTCGTATCATTAGAATCTATGGTGGGGGGTTTTCAACGTCAACCATGTCGTCAGTTGTGGGTAGCTGCCGGACGCTAAGCCCTTACAACAAAAAGTGACACCCTCAGTAGCTAGGCTGAGACTAAACAGGGAAGCTCATCCAAGTATATTTATCGCTAGGAGTAAGGTCATCGGTGTCTTCATCGCTATACACTATTGGTTCACTTTGGTGGTTAATTAAAAACACAATTAATCTTGTAATCATTTACTAAACAAACACAGTTTCAATTATTAACACAACACAATGTGACTTAACCTCAATTCCTACATACTACATTCTGATCTAATTCATTTCTGAAACGGAACTCTTTATATTTTAGTTTTTACGACAGCACAGTGTTGCCATCTGTGTCAAAGGTAATTATTGAAACAACTGTATGAGATAATATATATATACACAGGGTGTCCGGCGGCCGGGAAAACCGTAAAAAGCGGGAATTATACAGGAATATTATGACTCCGGGAACTTTGCGGGAATTATATGGAAATACTGTAATTATTGCAGTAATGTGCAGGAATTTTTCTGTGATTGATATTTTATTTTAAATATTCAACAGTTATTGAGAGTCAAACAGAACACGTTTAAAATTTTTCTCCAACCGGAATTTTTTTTATTTTTTTTTTGGGAGGAGGGAAAATGCTTTTACCCACACAGGTAGCCGGGCTGTAGTGTGAGACTCCTGAATTTATCACAGACTATTCACTAAAAAAAACCCTCTACTCTGTTGGACGCAGACCTGGAATTGTTTGGCACATTACTTCAAGTCAGGCCAACATGTGACCTAAGCCCTCAGGGCTCTCACGGTTTCTGGCTTTTAGATTCTTTATGACCTACAACGCACCCCGGTCAAGGTCGAGCTTCTTGGCGTGGAGAATACCCTGGATTTAATGTGACACACAGCTCCAATTATCCTCACCCTCTGTCATCATCGGTATAGCCGTCTCCACCCACAGCAGTCCTACTGCATCAAAAGACATTCACATATATATATATATTTATTATTAATTCCATGATTGTTACAAATACTATGACAGACATACATTGAATTTTATATGTAGACTAGCTGTTCCCACAGGCTTCTGCCCGTTTGACTTCTTAAGTATTAATAAAACTATTGATTGTTTAAGTTAAGCTGAAATAAACAAAACAGAATACAGTATAATACAAACAAATAATCACACCTGATTTTAATAAGGTAATCAATTGAAAGAATAACAAACAAATAAGTACAGCTGAGGTATTTTTAATATTAGGTATATGGAAAGTTCCCATTAGAAAGGAATCTATATATTTAATACGCTACGCATATTTTTGTCATAATTGTTTTGGAGCGGTGGTGCTACCGATCACCATGTCCAAGGTGTCGTTAGAAAGGTCTTAGCGTGTAGTTTTGCCATCAAACAAAAAAACTTTGGAATTCCATCAGGGCTCTGCCCCAGTGGCCTTCAAAGTTCCCATGTTATTCTTAGGGGGAAAATGTTTGTTTATATTTGAACAGATGAATACTTTGAAATTGACACTAATATTTGAAACAGCTGGTTATACTAACAGATTAGTTGAAAAGATTAATGTTTCACTGTTTTTATTTGCACAAAATCAAAACATAACCAAATAACGTTCAACATAATGGAGACTTTAACTGGTAGACGCGAACAAGATACAAATAATACTATTGTCGTTGATAGCCGAATACAGCAAGCACCCTTCCGTGTTGGGTTTAAATGTGCTCTCCAACAGCCGCCTGAAGATTTCACATTTAATTTAGGACTGAGTTGTGCTTTAATGAAATGGAAGTGGTATTTCAATGAAGGTTCTTAGGTCAAAACAAATAGAATAACGTAATTAGAATTAAGTAAATATATCTAAAACTAAATTCCATATCCAAGATATATACAATTTATATTTTCTGATTGAGCGATTAGATACAGGATCTTGAACTTAACTGATTAAAACTATCAATATCTCAAGTGAAAGCTTTTGAAGTATTTTAAGACCAAGACATATAAAATAACTTAAATAAAAATAGAGTTACGTATCATTGATTTGCAGATAGGTACTAAAACCATTGTAATTATTGTTAATTCGTGATTCAGCAGCGTGCTTTAGGTAGTCCGATCTTAATAATCAATAGCTCAAATGAAAGCTGGTATTTCACTAAGGTTTTTAGACCAAAACGTATAATGTAATTAGAACTGCTGAAATACATCTTTAATTGAAGTGAAAAAATTCTTTTGTCGAGTAATACATTAGATAACTTAATGATGATACTTGATGACAAATATGTGCTTGCATATCTTTATTTTAAGACCAAAATTATGAAAATCGGGCAGGTAGAAGAGCCCTTCTGTAAACCATCGCCCGCCTGCGAAACACTGAACTCGAAAAACCCAAATTTAACTCCCATAAGAAATGTACAGTGAGGCAGTTTGTGCATAACTCGAATTATACGTCAAAATGAATGCCGATGTTTGATGGCAAATCTGCGGTACGTCCATACCTTTAGTTGGCCAAAATTATGAAAATCGGTGGGGTAGAAGAGCTAACCCGACTCGGAAAAGAAAAACCAATTATTTTTGTAGATGGTAATAATTGGTTTACCAATATGTATAATCTAATCAAACGAAACATGTGTTAATAATTCAACAGCTTATTGTTATATTGTTATCTAATTAATTTTTCTTTGATTAAATGTTGTTGTTAACAATTTGCATCTCCTATATATTTAATACGCGACATGAAACTTTGTGAACAATAAGGCTTTTTTGTTTTAAGATTTAACCCCACATATTATATACCAAAATGCTCGTCTAGGTGTGTAGATGTGCAAACTGGCTTTAGATTTTCAAAATATATCTTTATAAGGGCGTGGGCTGCCCTCAAAGTTCCTTCCATAAGGATAACATTGTGATTGATTTGAATGTTATTATATTCTGAAACAGATGTCAATACATTAGTTTACAGAAAAATTAAATCCCAGCTGTTTTGTTTGGTTTTGAAATGTAAACAGTTTGCATGTTTGTAAAAGTAATTAGAAACCCGGCAAAGAAATGTTACCTGAGGACACGACGGGAGAAAGGTTGTACATTATATTTTCGTTTAAACATGCCAAGGACCCAACGACAAAGAAATATTGCCGGTCGGACACGGCGAGTCAACATACGGCAAGCAATTCAAAACGTAAGGACGAGGAGCTGGCACAGTTAGTGGCAACGTGTGCTTACAAAATTGCCCTGACAAATACAAGAATTCAGCAGCATTCACTTGGCGAGATGGCATTAAAATGTCAGAAATGTGGTGCGCTACATTTTAAAGAAGAACAAAGAGGACGAGGCCAAGGATTTTCATCCTGCTGCCATAAAGTAACTTAATGGAGCAAATCATTTTAGGAGAAACTACAAAGGGAACATTAGATCATACAACTCTGCGCTCGCAATGGTCAGCACTTGAGCTAAAATTGAAGAGCATAACGATGGAGGGCCTTTCATGTATAAGGTGCACGACACAATTTATCACTTAATTGGCACCTTTCAACCGTCAGAAGGGGAGCATCCCACATATGCCCAAGCTTATATCTACGGACGTCGAAACCGCTGTTCAAGAAAGAATGCTAAACAAATGGCTCTTGCAGCACTGAACTCATGCACATTTTGACTCAACATTTGGTTGATATTAATCCATACGCGCAATATTTCAGCATGATGAGCTCCGTCCTGCAAAATACTCCTACTGAACAGCAAAAAGACCTTAGCATGCATATAGCCAACGATCTAGCTCAAGACCATGCAACGTCGATACAACGACGCAACTTCTAACGACGTTGCTATAATACTAATTTATTATTCAAGCGAATTCGCACGGGTTCACCTAGTTTGTATTTAAATTGTGTTCATTATGTTAAGTATGTGATTCTAATGTTATGTGCTTATTTATTAAAAATTAAAGTTAATTAATTATTAAGGAAACATTATTAATGGTTACTGTACCTAATATTAGTGAGTAAAGTGGTGTATGGATTTCATAACCATTATTTTGCTAGTGACCGTTGTATTTAACCGCAACGGGCACTGTTGCTAGTATTAAATAATGGCGGTTAAATCCTTTTACTAAAGCTATACAAAAAAGTTCAGTAATCAAAATAAGTAGATTTTTTCAGTTTTGGAGATAAATTAAAAAAAAATACCGTTAGGCCCAGGCCTATATAAAAACACAACATTCAAATTCAAATTCAAATAATCTTTATTTGTAAGTAGCATATAACATACATAAATAGTGTCAAAATACAGGTATGAAAAAGTATAACCAAGGGTTTCTTAAAATTATCAATGCATAAACTAACATTATTTCCTACAACTCATCTAAGGAAGCTTTGTTGATACATTCATATTAGTTTATTAAGAGGGAGGTTTAGAAATTCATCCAGGGAGTAAATTACCTCGTTAATTAAATAAGCTTTCAGTTGTCTTTTAAATTTAATTGAATTTTTTTCTTTATTAATATTTTCTTGGATTAATCTTAAAAACTGTTCACCAACATATGTTGGTTTTTTTTCATAGAGCTTCAGTCTGTGCTGATTTTGCCTTATAGAGTTCTTTTTTCTAGTGTTATAATGATGTTTGGGTACGTGAGGGACATCATTAAGAATTTTGTTCTTTGCACACAAAATGACGTCAAGAACATATTGGCCATAAACCGTCAGTGTTTTTAACTGTTTGAAATGTTCTCTGGCCGAATCATCATGATTCAATTTCAGCATTACTCTTATAGCCCTGTTTTGGAGTCTTAACATACCATCCAAATTTGCTTTTTTTGTTGCTCCAAATAAACAAATACCAAAAGAAATATGAGAATGTATGTAAGCAAAATAAATATTTTTCAATGTTGTTAAATTACAATAAAAAGACATTTTTGAAAGCGCATGAATTCCAGAGTTCATTTTTGTCAAGATCTTGTTTACGTGTTCATTCCAATTAAGGTGTTTATCGATAGTCAGGCCAAGAAAATTTGTACTTGACTTTGGATCAATTATGTGGGAATCAAACACAATCATTGGTTCTATTTGACTTCTACTTTGTGGAGTTTTAAATGTAATAAAATTAGTTTTATCATGATTTAATGTTAAATTTTGATACGTTAAGTAATCTCCAAGGTTTCCAAGTTCTATGAAAGCAACCATTTCCGTTTGTTCTATTTTAGGTGTTGAAATGAGTAAATTAGAATCATCAGCATACAGGCATAGTTCACTGATAGGCTTACATGAAAGTGCTTTGTCCATGTCCTTAACATAGCACAGGAAAAGCAATGGACCAAGAATAGACCCTTGCGGAACCCCATATTTTATTGTCTTTAAATCTGATGCTGTTTTAATGATTTTATTGTTTTTTCGATGTGTGATTTTCACATATTGAGTTCTATTTGTTAGATATGAATGAAACCATTGCAATGAATTATTTGATACTCCAATAGTTTGTAATTTTTTCAAAAGTAAAGAATGTTTGACACTATCAAAAGCTTTCGATAGGTCCATGAATATGCCAATTGTATTTTCACCTTTATCAAAACGGTCAATTACTGACTCTATAAATGAGTAACAACCGATCTCCCAGACCTGAACCCATGTTGATTACTATCCGTCAAATTAAATTTTTCAAGGTATGATGTAAGCTGACTATTTACTATTTTAGCGAATTTCCCATATAGGGAATAAGCTATTACCGTAGTACTCATGGTAAGACCTGGACGCGGGACCGATTTTTTTTTTCGTTTTGAGGTCCCTAGAGGCCAAAAACACCATCCGTTCAAATTCATATATATATATATATATTTATATATTTATATATTTATATATATATATATATATGTGTCCGTCAGCACGATAACTCGAGCAAAAATGATCCGATTTTGATGAAATTTGGTACAAACGTGTAAACCTACGTTTATTCGAACGAGTTCGCGATCCAGCATGATCGGACCATGGGAACGGGTGTTTACGGGGGGTTTTATGGGGTAAAAATAGGTTTTTGCCATTTTTGACCCAAAAAACATAAAATTTAGCAATTTATTTCCAAACCATTTTGTAGAGCTTCAAAAAACAAATAATTTAGTATATTGAAGCGTTATTATGCGCCTAATGGTTACGGAGAAAATTCCAAAAAATTGTAAATTTAAAATTCCCATGTTATTCTTATGGAGAATGAGTAAACTGTTGTAGTTTGCTTGTTTATGAACATATTTTGATCAAATTTGGAAAATGTTTTTATTTCTTACTAACTATTAACATTTTACAAAAAAAAACAGTTTTACCCTCCCTGATGCAGCAAACCTAAGTACTTGTTAAACTAATTCTATTTAAATCGGGAATAAATGTTATATTTTTAAGTAGACATTTCAGTGTAAATCCAATCAGTCAAATGGAAATTCGCTTAGTCTGCAGGTTTGCTGCGGCGGGGGTATTTTCATTTGGAAATGGCTGGTAACAACGAAACAGGGCGATAATTAATAATATTTTTTGTGTCATCCTTATTATGTACTGGAATGACTTTTGCCTTCTTTAATTGATCTGGGAATATACCTGTAATGAAAGAGGAGTTAATTAAGTGAGCTATAATTTGGCTTATCTCATATTTTATACTCTTAAGAAGTGTAACAGGCACTTCATCATAGCCACTAAAATTTTTATTTTTTAATGATGATATAACTTTTTCCACCTCCCTCTTATCAACAGGTTGAAAATTAAACTTAAGCTTAATTGACCATTCCTGAACAGATATAGCTTCTTCATCTACACATGGCACCTTGATGTTACAGTCTGGCTCTACGTCTTTAAAAAAAAAAAGTTATAATAATGTAATGTCTGCAGATATTTCTCAAAGTTTTTTACACGTTTGCGTAACGTAACGTTCACCATCATCAAAACTTGTGTTCACCAAAACCAGTAGGGTCTTGCACATCTTGCATATTGTTCGGCTCCTTTTCTGTTTGAACACAGAATTTTCAAATCAAATACAATAACCAAACCTCACTGGTGTTTTTACATAATATTTAACAGTGTCTTCTTTAACTTACCAGAAAGGATGCAAAAAGCTTTTGACATCTCTAATATTTACTTCCAATTAAATATCACATAGAGGGTACCTAACGTAAAATGGAAAATTTCTGGATTTGTTTGTCATAGTGATTCTGTTGTACAAAAGAGAAACTGTTTGAGATAAAAAAGTATGTTTGGGGCAGGCAAATTCTCTTGATCTTTATCTTCCCTTTGTAAGTTATCACCTCATGTCATTCATTAGAAAAATTTCATGTGATACAAAAATTTTTTTTTTCCAGAAACAGATAGTCTATTTGGTGGTCAGACAGCATATCCCAAGAGCTCTACGCTAGTCACTGGTCTACGAACAAAGAAGAAATACCCTAGTTATATCATACCTGACAACTACTTTAAGGAATAAAAGCTAGTGTTTCAGTATTTATGTATATTATTAGTTGTTTGCTGTTTTAAATAATAAAATTTTCTATCATTTTGTCATTGTACCTTTAACACAACTATTGGTCGTATTGAGTTACACTTGCTCTGTGGATTATTATTCTTTGTATTTAGTGGCTCTGTAACACTATACCGCACTTTTACCCATTAAATATATATAGATAGAAAAAACTAACAGGAATAGGTTACGGGTTTATTAGTTTGCGAGTTGGTCTACTGATACACATTGAACTCACAGATGACCCAGTGTTACCACAGTCCTCAGGCCTATTATGTGTACCTGTAGTTATCCTTAACACGTTAAGTGCGGTTGCGCGATGGCCGGCCGCGGCTGGTGGCACTTCGTGGTTGAGTGCGCTTAAACGTTTAAATTTAGTTTCATCCAAATGAGAGGCAAATTGTAGCATGTACTGCATTCCAGTCATTGTGGACGTAGTTTTACAAGAACCCAACAGATAGCAGCACAAAACAAAACTGCTAGCAGGCCCTCAGTATTGCCAAATGGAGGGAAAATGCGCAACAACCCCGGATACGCCATAAAGAAATACGACAAAAAAGGCGTCAAGCACAATACACTTAAGTAATTATTGTTATTTTATTCAATTTCACTAAATCCAAGACAAAACCACACACTACACTAAGTTTGGAACAGTCCCTACCACCAATGAAATTGTCGGATCTGAAAACAAATTATACCGGATTAAAGTATAAAACTGTCACACCAAGCGGCAAGCGAAACGACGTTCCCTGTGCGAGGCTGAGCTTATTTTGAAATCTAGATACAAAACTTTGCCAAGTAATGGTATAATTGACATCAGTAATGGGGAGATTCTTTGCTAACCTCAATGCAATGCATCATTTGTACATAAGCCAATAAGGTACAAGAACCGTTCAATGTTTGATAATGATTTATTTTCATGCACTAGTTGTCTAAATAAATCATAAAAGGTAGGCCATTCTTTGAAATTGCCAGAAAATGTAGGCAAACTAATTTTAGGTAACTTTGCTTGGCTTTGTACGGGCAAATAGTTAGTTTCAGATCTAGAACTAGGTGGTTGTACTTGTTCAATTTCGGGAGGGACAATCTTTGAAATAATAGCTAAAATGTAGTAATATTTGTCACTAACACTATCAGAAAGCTCTTCTACTTTTCTATAATCTGATTCATCTAATTGACTTTTCAAAGCAATTATTTCTGATTGGGAGTGTGTTAAATTCCTCAAATAACTCATGAATGGATGCACTACGAATTTTAAAGGATTCACAATCTTCAGAGTTGGTGGTTATTCCTAAGCTTAAGCCTAGGTTATAAACTTTGTCTATTTTCTTTAAAGCACAATTTCTACGAAACTGGACCGCATCAAGTTGGCTTTAAAGTTTCTTAACTACTTCATCCGTCATGTTACTAGAAGTGGGTTAGAAGAAACTAGCTTGAATTGTTGTAGTCTAACAATGGGACCAATTGTGGCTGTACATACAAGGTAAAAAAATGGAAAAGGGTCAAAAGAACAAAAAATGGATAGGAGATGTAAATTCAGGTCCAATATCCCAAAGCTTAGACTGTGATTGTGTAACTTGTTGATTCCTGGGGCCCATTTCATAATAAAGTACAAACTAATATAAATGGTAAATCAGCTGATCGCCCAATGCAAATCTAATGGAAGTTACAAGTTGTAACTTGTAACTTGTAGTTTATTATGAAAGGGCCCCAGGATGGGAAAACAGCACAATGTGAATCTGTTGATTCCTTGGTGGAAAACAGTAATCTTCAAACTGTAGAAATTGATAAAAATGGACTTGCTGTGCATAATTAATGTGGCTGTGAAGGACCATAATGTTTTTGATAAACTGATTTATTAAGTTTTGTTTTTGTAAGGTTAAAAGTAGATTAACCAGAGGAAATAGTTTGATATTATAAATAAAAGAATAGATGTTTTAGATTTGAGTAATACTGCTAGGAATGTTAAAGATAAATCATTTCAAAATATTCTGATAAAAAAAGAAAGAATTCAAAAAAGAAGTCATTGAAACTAAATGTAATTATTATCATAACTTATTTGAAAAATCATGAAATGTCAGTAAAACTACATGGGATATTGTAAATAGGGAAGTTGGAGCAAATCATAATTCAAGCCATGTTGAAAATTTAAGCTTACCATATATTAAAGCCAATAAATGCACGGACGTTAAAGATGTCTGTCAATGATTACTATACTATACAACGATGGTTGAAAATGACATATTGCCCAAACTAATATCTTCTACTGGTTCAACAAATATTATTTCACCCTCCAAAAAATTTGTATCAAAATTTAGTCTTTCACCAATTACTTATGAAGAGCTGGACAAAGTTATAACTTCTTTTGATGATAAATTTTCTACTGGCTGGGATGAAATACCAATGAAATACGCCTGATTTTAATATTTTTATGGATACAACTTTACTAAATGAAGTTAAAACAATAAAATTTCTTGGATTGCATATAGATGATGAATTCAACTGGGACAGTCATGTTGAAAATGTTTGTAATAAAGTCAACTCAGGCATACATGCATTAAGACAGATGTCAAAATTTAGTAGTTTAAAAACCTTAAAAATAGTATATCATTCCCTGATTGAATCTCACATTTCTTTTGGGTTGTGTCTTTATGGTGGCACATCAAATTTTAACCTAAAAAGCATTCTGGAACTTCAGAAAAAAGCGATTCGCATCATGCTAAAACTAAAATCAAAAGAATCCGCAAAAGAGCACTTTAAGGAAATAGGAATTATGACTGTTTTTAGTTTATATATTTATCAAATAGCCCTTTATATTAAATCAAACCATGAAAGATTGCCAAAATTGAACTCTTTTCATATGTATTCAACCAGAAAAGGTAATGAATTGGCATTCAACAGACACAATTTATCGGTTTACGAAAAAATCGCATCTTATAGTGGTGTTAAATATTTCAATAGCTTGCCTGACAATTTAAAAAATATAACTAACTAGCTGTACCCGCGGGCTTTGCCCCGCTTAACTTCATAAGTATTCGCATGGCTCAATCACGTCCTGGTTGAAGTTCGTTCGCTGCACTCACTCACCTTCAGGTTGAAAATCGTTCGCTGCGCTCACTTGTTTTCAGGTTAGCTCGTTCGCTACGCTTACTCGCCTCCAGGTTGATGTTCGTTCGCTACGCTCACTCACCTTTTGGTTGCAAATTAGCTGTTGTCATACATTTAAAAAAGTCATCCCTTTTATTGTTTATAATACAGTACTTTTATAAAGGTTTTTATGTTTTAATATTTAACATTGGAGAATTTAAACGTTGTTAAGTGCACAGGTGTGCTGCGATTGGGGTTTAATACATTTGGACTTATTCAAAAGTAAAATAGTTTTCTGTGCTGCAATCTGTAGAAACACTGTGGCACTATTTCAAATCATGACTAATGCTAATACAGAATGTTGTAGTTATTCAAACGTACAAAACATTTGGTGAAAGTAAACATCTGCTTTTAAATTATATTTATTTGTAAACATTCTAGATCAAAAAGTCGACATTGGCCCACTTAAAACCCTCTGGGGCAGAGCCCTTTTGACGGATCTGCACCAAACTTCACTTGAACCATCCTTGAAAGATGCTTAATAATGCCTGAAAGTTTCATTACAATCTGTCGAGCGGTTTCGGTGTCCATAACGTATATATACATACATAGTTCCTCTTTTATAGATATAGATTTTAATTCATTTAAAAAATGTTTGAAATTATTTCTCACCAACAGACCCTTGTATAAATTAGAAGATGTTTTCCAACTTCCTGAAATTTGATTGTTTTATAGTAACAATATTCTCTGTAAGTAGTCTTAAGTTTAATAATTATTGTGTTTTTATAACTGACTCCATTCTGTACAAAATGTGCAATATGAATAAAGTTATTTTGATTGATTGATATTCAACCTCAGCAATTCAACATGAACAGTCTCCAGCAACTACCATCTTCAGTTATACTCAACTTCAGCAACTAGCTTCTTCAACATGAACCATCTCCAGCAGGGCCGGATTTTACCTAGTGACCGTGGGACTAAACAAAACAACATAACGCACCTCACCAAGCATTCCTGCAAAAAAAAAACAAAAAAAAAAAAACATGGCCAACATGATTCCAAGTCCAGGCCCAAAAACATGAACTCCATACAGTACGTGATACCATAGATTAAGCATACTCCTTCAGTAGATTTGTCATCATTTTGGATTAGCTGAAAACAATTCTTGTTATTTAAGGAGTATGTTTTATCTATGTTTAAACCTAGTTTATCCAAAATAAAACGATTTAGTCATCAACAATAGGTCGTCTTCTTTTTATATTACAAGAAATTAAAACACACATCTTAGAACTAACCCTAAAATAATAGAGACAAAATTACGTCAAAACTAACGTCCAGTGTCACCAACATGAACTAGACATGAAAAGATTTTGAATTAACAGTGTTATAAGAAGTCGACTTGAGTTATATTTAATTTACTGTCGTACTGCATCTAGGTTATATTTCCAAAGCAAAACATAGCAATATTCCGGCCAACCGTACCGATCCTTTGAGGAGAAAATGACAGCATTAATAGTGGGAGGGTATTGAATTTGTCTACAATCTAATGCAAACTGAGATTAATATTATTTCGTTAATTTTAAAGGTAAATTCATCGTTGTTTTAATATTCAACACAACTTATTATACATTTTAACTTGATCCTGCAGATGGTTGTAAACTAATCAAAAGATTAGTTAATAACTTTTGTTTTGTGAGGTAATGGTGGTAACAATGTCTAACACATATGCGCCCCTAATCACTCTGATCAGTAGTGCCTGTAGTGCCGAGTCCGAGCCCGAGCCAGCATACTAGTAGTGGCAGTGCAGTGGCAATACGATGCGTACCCCTTGGGCGCTCGTCAACGTAAACATCCCTAAAGCCTACTCTCGTATAACCAATGTTCGTTACCAATTTTGTAACGAAATTTATGTTTTAATTCTGAAAAATTGTTTACATTTCCTAAAAATTATTTCTTCTTATGAACTTCAGAATCACAATGCTTTGGATTTTTTTTATCAACCATGACTTTTTATTTTTAGATAGCCTGGGTATAAAAACAAATTTACTCTCGGCCGTGCGCCCTCTGGGACCTTGCACCCATAGGCCCAGGCCTACCAGGAAATCCGGCCCTGATCTCCAGCAAGTACCATCTGCAGTTATACTCAGCCTCAACAACAAACTTCTTCAGCATGAACCAGCTTCAGCATCCTTCAACTGATAATTTAATAAATCGGCAATAACTCCAATTTCAGTTTCATGCAGCATTTTGAGATAAATCATACATGAAGACTCACATATTACGACTTATATTAAAACAAAATTCATGGCCAAAAATATATATGTATATATATAAATTGTGTGTGCAGCTATCCCCCTCTCCTTTGTTGGGTCATCAACCCAGTCAATTTTTGTAGGGCAGAAACGAAGTGAGAGTCCTTCCAGGCCTCAAATCATTCTTTTTTTCGCTAAGGGGGGAGGAGCCCGATCGCTGACAAACAAAACGGGTCTCGACCTTTAACTGAAGGACAATAAAAAAAAAATCATGCGGAGGTGCCAGCGTGTTGGGAGCTCTAAGGTTTCACCTATTCTGAGTGGAGATGAGCCGGAACCCTAATGACACCAATTGGTTTTTGCAAGCCCAGCACCGCCGCGTTCCGATTTTTCATGAACCCGAAACGAAACTCCTGGTGTCAAAGGTGGGTATGCGCTGCAACTGTGCAGTCAAAGTTTGGTTGTTTTAGGGAAATTCACCTGCACTAACCTCTGTAACCCTGGTAACCTATTCACCCCACCTAGCCCAAGCGCATTCTTTTGGCGGAAGGGGGTGTGGTTGTGCCGTGCGCGTCACTTTTATACATATATACTCAGCGCGCAAGCAATAACTTACTGGCCGAAGCGTATCAGCTGCCAACGGCAATAGAGGTAAAAACGACGAGCACACGAGAAATCTCTCTCGTTCGCCTTTGACTCTTAAACTTGAACATCGCCGGAATCTTGGCTGATGGCTCCAAATTAAACATAAATATTAGTATCTAAGTAATTGCATTAATTATCAGGAAACCCAAATTCAAATCATGAAATAGTTTAAATTCAGTTAGGGGTTGCCGGGGAGAAACTAGGGGGCATTAGGATGTAGGTTTTCCAATTTATGTCGGTCTTCTCCTTAAGAGAAGCCGACATCAGCTTGTCGAAACAAAGTCTAAATTCACATAGTTCTAAATTTTTCAATAATTATGTGATGTCAATTTGATTAATTCATTGCTAAATTACCTTACTTCTATCAGTTTCCATTTTACACTGTTAGTTCATTAATTATAATTAGTAACCTTGTAAATGCAATTCTTACATATTCAGGTAGTGGGTTAGTTATAAGGTTTACTTGTTATGAATTACTTAAGTCGCAGCTCATCAAAAGCTGGCTTAAGGTGTTAACGGCAATGGGCACGATCAACCTCAGGGTAAAATCCTTTTAAAATACAGTTAACAGTCCTTCTTAATTTCTCAACCTCATAGTTATTATTAATATATATTTCCTTGTCACAATCCTCATGCATCCATACCACTCTTCCATTATCTTATTCCACAGACATGCTGAACCAATTCAAGTAGTATCACCCAATCACACAGATTGTCTACACCAATGTTACATACATAGTTAAGAAGTAATGAATTTTGTAGGGTTTTTGTTCGTTTTAAGTCATTTGGAAAGTTTGCAGAGGTTTTTAATTGCTTTCAGTAAAAATTCTAATTTGTATAGAAGCCTTTTATTTTATCCCTAATTAGGTATCACCCTTCACAGTTACACCAGGAGTGACAATTAGGATATGCTGTAAGCAACTACAGTTTGTTGATATCATCGACCAGACGACGCTGTGCTACCCACATTGACTTGGATTCACAAAGTTATAAGTTATGCAGGGAACAGTCATCCTAAGATTAAAAAAAATATTATGTTTAAAATAATATATATATATACATTAGGCCTACTACAAAAATAAATATTTGGACGTAACTCCTCCCATAGGGGTCTGTGATGTGTATAGCTTTATCCTATTTAATGATTTTATTTATATTTTTAAGCTTTGTGATGATTAAATAAGAATTAAATAAGAACATGTTGGCAATAGTTTTTATTTTATGGGTGTCATCATATCTGTCTTTTTTTGCTTGCCTAATTTTGCTTTTGCCATTTTTTGTTAGATGATCAAAACCCTCTTTTAAAAATATTTAAGCATTATGGGAATCGTAAAGGTTTGGTGATACAAAAAGAACGAACGAACAGGCATAGATTTAATTGTATAAATTATTTATTATTATTTATTGAATTACCCTATTATCATTCTCATTGAAAAATTGAGCAATGTGGAACTTGGCAGAGGAGTGTTTAGCAACTCTGTGCAGTGCGATGAAGCCTGAGACTAGCTGCACACAGAGCAAGCAACACATCACAGTCTGGGTGACAATCTCTACAACAGAGGACAACAGCATGGGGTGAAGCAGCAACAACTGCAGAGGAGCTTGCAGAAGTAGAGACAACATCCAGAACCCTGCCAACCCTGGGATCTGGAACACAAGTAACACATCACAGTCTGGGTGACATTCTCTACAACAGAGAACAGCAGCATGGGGTGAAGCAGCAACAACTGCAGAGGAGCTTGCAGAAGTAGAGACAACATCCAGAACCCTGCCAACCCTGGGATCTGGAACACAAGTAACACATCACAGTCTGGGTGACATTCTCTACAACAGAGAACAGCAGCATGGGGTGAAGCAGCAACAACTGCAGAGGAGCTTGCAGAAGTAGAGACAACATCCAGAACCCTGCCAACCCTGGGATCTGGAACACAAGTAACACATCACAGTCTGGGTGACATTCTCTACAACAGAGAACAGCAGCATGGGGTGAAGCAGCAACAACTGCAGAGGAGCTTGCAGAAGTAGAGACAACATCCAGAACCCTGCCAACCCTGGGATCTGGAACACAAGTAACACATCACAGTCTGGGTGACATTCTCTACAACAGAGAACAGCAGCATGGGGTGAAGCAGCAACAACTGTAGAGGAGCTTGCAGAAGTAGAGACAACATCCAGAACCCTGGCATCCCTGGGATCTGGAACAAAATCAAATTAAATCAAAAATCACTTTGTTCAGCTTGAGAAATATACAGGAATGCATTATGAGTGGTAGTAATAGTATTCCCCGAATGGACAGCAAGTCCGTGCTCGAGGGAAGAGCTCTTACCAGCAGGAAATACACTGTTTATAAATAATGTGTACATCTATACTTAAATACGTATCAGATCTCAAAAAAAATATATATGCTAGGCCCTATATATATATATATTGTATACTAGAATATTGTTTAACAATAAACAGCCTTAAGCAACTATTGAGTCCACTAATTTTACTAATAGAACTTCACATTTTGTATAAGAAAATAGAAAGTAAGTTTTTACTGTAAGTAAACATAAACAATTCAACAAGTAAACAAAATAATAATTTGAACACATGTTAGAGATAAAATGTAAATAAAACATATGTTAACACCTTCTCCTCTATTTACTGTGCTGCGGCACTTTACAAAGAATCAGCTGGTCAATATGTCTTCTTATTATTCGTCCATCTTCTAGCTGAACTACGTACATTACATGTCCTTGCTTTTTATTTATATAGCCCGAATACCACTTGGACGAACCATTGACGTATTCCCGCCCTTGCACTTTATCTTCAACTTTGAAATTCCTTTTTATACCGACTTGGACTCCCTTCTTCTGATATTTGTTCGGTTGAGGTTTGTTCGTATACTCCTTCCAAACATTAGAGGTGATATGCTGATGTACCTGTTGAATTCGGGGATTGCCTGAGTTGCATTAAGAGTCTTTGGATTTTATTTTGCAATGTACCCTTTTCTCCCTCCATGGATTTTAACGCCTTCTTGAAAGTCTGTACGTATCTTTCAGCCTGGCCGTTTGAGTTTGGATGGTATAGTGGCGTTGTTTTGTGAATAATCCCACATTCATTCATGAAGTTTTTGAACTCTTGAGAAACAAACTGTCTTCCATTATCTGAAACTAAGATGTGAGGAAACCCAAAAGTTGAGAAGATTTTCCGTAATTCTTGGACTGTCCATACTTGTAGTTGTTTTTGTCTGTACCACCTCCACCCACTTACTAAAGGCATCCACTAATATCAGGTATTGTTGGCCATCTGTTGGTCCTAAGAAATCAATGTGAACCCTCTCCCATGGATTAGAAGGTTGTTCCCATGGATGGATAGTTTTTCTCGGGTTGATACATTCAGCTACCATCTCTTCAATATCCTTGTCTATACTTTTCCACCAGCAAAAACTGCGAGCTAAAGCCTTCATTTTTATTCCTCCTAAATGAGCTACGTGTAGTTCTCGAAGCACATGAGGTCTGAGGGATTGAGGTATCATGACTCTCCAGCCCTTCAGTACACAATCATCTTGAATGGACAGCTCGTTATCGTGAAATCTGTATTGTTCAACAGATTGTCCCGATTTTAAGGCCTGTAGGACTGGACCCAAAACAGCATCGTTGAGAGTTTCCTTAGCCACCATGGTACTGTTGATATTGAGTGTTTTCAGTTGGTTTATGTGGTACTTCGAGAGATCATCTACAGAATGTTCTTGAACAACTTCGACAGGGAAACGTGAAAGATAATGTGCATTGCAACGATGAGCGGTTTGCCTGTACTCTATGTCATAGTCGAACCCGGAGAGAAAGTGAGCATAGTTGAATATCCGTGTTGCCGAGATTGTTGGCAAGGTCTTTTCTGGATTAAAAATTGACACTAGCGGTTTGTGATCTGTGATCAAAGTAAATTTGCGGCCATAACAAAAAGGGAGAAACTTTTTCAGACCCCAATATATTCCCAAGGCTTCCTTATCGATTTAAGAGTATTTTTGTTCAGATTTTGACAACGATCGAGAGGCGAAGGCAATTGGCCTGTCTGTTCCATCCCTATAGCGGTGCGAAAGAACGGCTCCCACACCTACCGGCGAAGCATCAGTAGCTAAGACCAGTGGCAAGCTAGGATCAAAGTGCACCAATACGTCGTCACTTGTAATAATTTCCTTAATCTTCAGAAAACTCTGTTCACAAGCAGAGCTCCATTTTAAAATGTTTCCTTTTCGTAGCAGCTGATTCAAGGGATGTAGCAGTGTAGCCAAATTCTTTATAAATTTGTTGTAATAATTCGCAAGGCCTAGGAAAGTTTGGAGTTCAGTTAAGTTCTCTTGTCTTTTACATTTTAAAATGCTCTGTATTTTAGCATCTGACTTGTGTAGTCCTTTGCTATCGATCACATGACCTAAGTACTCAATTTTGGTCTGGAAAAACTTACACTTTTCTCTATTTAGCCTCAAATCATTTAACTTCAGTCGTTCAAACAACTGTTCCAGTCGGCGAAGAAGCTGTTCCCTGTTAGATCCTTGGACAATTACGTCGTCAAAGAAACATTGTACGCCTTCTAAGTTATGTAATGTTTTGTCCATGAATCTTTGCCATAACAAGGGTGCCACTTTTACTCCAAACATTAATCTGTTCACTTTAAACAGTCCTTTATGAGTACTGATTGTTTGCATGATGGCACTGTCTTCGTCCATCTGCATGTGCAAGTATGCGTTACTGATATCAAGTGTACAAAATATCTTTCCACAATGCATCTTTGACATGATATCATCGATCCGAGGTATAGGGTAATGTTCGTCTTTAATAACTTTGTTCAAAGTCACCTTGTAGTCAGCACATATTCTGACTGAACCATTGGGTTTGACAACCGGCACAATGGGTGTGCCCCAATCGGATGATTCGACAGGTTTGATTATACCCAAAGTCTCCAGTCTTTCAAGTTCCTTCTCTACTTTTTCTTGTAATGCATATGGGATGTGTCTCGGTTTGATGTAAATTGGCTGGGTTTCGTCTTTTACATTAAAATGACCCTTTTCGTTTGGTATTTTCCCAATGCCTTCTTTGAAAATGTCTTCATATCAAATCATCTAGTTCTTGAATGTTCTCGTTTTCTTCACTCGAATTTAATGAATGTATGTCGGCTGCATCAAGTTGAATCTCTCTTATCCATTCTCTTCCGAATATAGAGTCTACACACTTGTTAACAATGTACAGTTTCCAACAAAACTTTGATCTTTATACTGAACATTTACAAAAACAACTCCTCTGCTACGCACCATAAAGCTTTCTATAGACTTTTCATTAACTTAGGCCTACAAAATTCCTATGGCTAATAAGTTAGCCCACATTGAACTCAAAGTCATTTCTTTCTTAATAAAGATAATTCCTAATTTGTGTTTTATTTCTGTCTAATGAGGTAAGTCTTTGTCTTAATCTTATAATTATGAATTATTTTAAGAATAAATAGATTTGATAAGTTACAATATAAAATAACTACAAATATAATACAATATAATGAAATACAAATATAAGATAAGTTATTGGTTGAATTAGCTACAGGGTAAGTTAACAATGGTAAATTTTCAAAATGGTGGGGTTCTAAAGTGGATGAAAAGATTCTCTAGGCTTAGGCCTATATTGGGTTGGTTTCTTCTTAAGTACTAATTAATATTCAAATAGATGACCTCTTAATCTCAGGGAGGGGTGGTCGTGCCGGTTCGAATGATATATTAGGCTTCTTTAAAATGTAGATAATTTAATTTAGTTATTGTTCTGAAATAAGTTAAGCTAGGTTCATGATGCTATTAATATAATAATGTTAATGTCCAAAGAAAGATTCCAAATGGTTTCACTGAATTTAATGAAATACAATAGAATTTGAAGATTAAATTTTGAATAAAAGTTCAATTTGAAATATGTATATATCTTGATAAGTTGAGTTTTGGGCCTAGTAGGCTATACTGATTAAATGTCCAATGAAGATTAAATTTGTCCTTAGTTAAATAAGATGGATGATGGTTACCAAATTTGGAGTGTCTGTCTTCTTATAAATTTGTACTCTTCAATGCACTTGTCCAATACTTTTGGATGATGAGAAATTTAAATTTTAGGTTTTACTTTGGGATTATGAATTTTAGTTTAAATTAAACACAATTTCCAATAGAATGATGTTCACACTGTGAAGAGTTGGCAGGATCTGGGCAGAGGCAATGGTAGAAACTCAGGAAGTCCATGTCCATTGTTGAAGTGATGTACAGCTGGTTAATTTACATGAATGACACTTGCCACAGTAATTTTGATTTTCTTTGGATAATTTTGAAAAGTGATACTATATTTAAGATGTTATTACTATATTGCAATTTTCTTACAATTGTATATTATTCTAAATAAATGATTATTGTTGGTTTTTGATGAGTAATTAATAGGTATGGAGAGAATTTGCATAAATATTATATTGTAACATAAAATAGGATGATGTTTCTGTGGGGTGATGGGATATTATATAACATTGAACAAAATTGGATAAAATAACACATTAACAAGGAGGAACATATTAAATAACTGATAATACATTATCAGGGGCATTAACAGACATTATGGGAGAAAATACACAAAATAATACAGAAATTAATGTTAATGATGAATGAATGACATGTAATATTACACCTCTTGGATTGATTATTTCCCCAGTGTATGTCTTGAGTTGAACATTTGTCTTGAAAATCCTTTTTGGAGAGTTTAAAAGCCTAAATGTATCATATGATACAATGCTAAGAGCAGCTCCTGTATCTAATTCCATTGTCATGAGTCGTCCTTTCACTTTTACCTCGAGCATAAACTTGTCATTTGATTTTGAATGAAGTTGGTAAATTTCATGAGTGTCATCGGTTGTATTTTCTGCGGTTTCATCTGATTGTTTTACTTCTTTGTTTGGTTTTCTAAGACATACTCTTGCTAAGTGACCAAAACGTTTACAAGAGTTGCATTCTGCATTTTTGAACTTACATTGATGTGCTCTATGTGAATCATCACCACATCTATAGCATTTGTTCCTCAGTTTCTCCAAACGAGATTGATACTCAGAGAGTTGTTTACTTGACTTACTATCTGGTTGTTTGTTCTTGCTCGATACTTGGTGTACTTCCTCTTGATTTTCATTTGTCTTTAGTATTCAGTGA